ATAATCAAACTCAAGATGGTACAGAATCCCTCTCCTCTTAGAAGTGACTAGGAAGTGGACCTAGCCAACTGGGAGATGCCGAGATCGAGATATAGAGTGACCAAACCGACTGGGATGGGACAAGCCTCAGGGACTAAGAACACTGGGCAGAAGACCACTCTGGAGTGCTGAATGAGATCAACAGAGGGAACAGGCCTCAAGGCCTCAGTGTAGTGCAGGAAGGTGGTATTCTGATGGGAGAACAGAATTTAGTAATGGAAAAGCCTGGATTAGGAGGCACTGAGGGATACAGAGTGGCATGCATTTGGGCATATCCAAGGATATCTGCTGGCCAGTGGCCAACTGTGATTCCTAGGTTGGGGGCAAGGGCAAATGTAAAGAAAACAGTGGATGCATAGTTCATAACTGCTAAGGAACACGTTAAGCCAGATATTCAGAGAACATGGCTCTAATTATTAGAACTTGGGAACAAAGCAGGTAATTAATTTGGGGGACACAGGGAAACCTCAGTTTTCTAAACTGGAGCAAAAGGTCAAACCAGAAGAACTACTAAAAGAGTGATGGACTAGAGCTCTTTGAAATGAAGAAAGTGAAATGCTGGTTAATCATTTACTTAAAATCAGTGATGACAATGTACATGAAGGTTAATGCCAGGCTCACAGTAGGTCTCTAACATTTGTCCACTTCTCTACTTTCTCCCAAGTCCAACAACTAGGTGGCAGCCCTTGAATACCCAGAGCACATTCAGTAGTCTATGCCCAAGGTGTTAAAAGATTAATGAATCTAGTCAATCACATTCCCTAAGGCACTTGGAGGTGTTGAGATCGCTGGACAAACAATGGGAAAACTTTACATTTGTGCCCTCCACATTCAACAAGATCTATATCCTAGAGGCCCCGTTCACCCAAATACTGATTTGCCTTAGGGACCCTGATCAATATGAAGCCCACAAAAGCAAACCCCTACTTCATGAGTTACATTATACAGGTAACCTCAATCAGAACTATCAAAGCAGAGGGATTTTAAGTAGGTCTCTTACAGTCATTAAAAATGTTAGTGGTTCTAAGCAAGATTGATGGTTTAAAACTTTTTCAAACAAGAGGGTCTCATACCTTAAACCTCAACCATTACTTTTGCAGTGGTTCTGATATAAAAGCCTGAACATCACTTGACAAAGTATGAACATTCTGAAAAGAGTCACAAGAAGCTCTTCCCTGTTCAAGCCACATAAGGCACTGAGGCTTAAAGGCTGATTGTGGCTTCAGCACAAAAAACAACGCACTAGAAGATCACATACCAAATGATGGGACTGTGTCTGTGAAATAAACTCTCTTCACTGATATGTGATCCAGTGTCATTTCTTCAAAGCGGCAAAGTGCTTGGTGCTATACCAGAGAATATACCCACCAAGGAATATACCCAGATCTCTGAAAGATATGCCACAATTTGGCTTCAAATTGGAAATTACATTCTTTATAAGCATTATTCTTTAGTTGGTTAAATACATGTAATCACAAGTACACGCAATGTTGTTCTTCAAACTACCTCTTCTTTTGACTGGTGTTTCAGACGAAACATTGCATTTGTTAATATCAAATATGCTAATGTGTCACAGTGTCTGTCTTCTCTTTTATCCACTCTGGAGATATTCGGAGCTTATCTCCGAAGAGTGTGTCTGGCAATTCAAGTGTGAAGCTACAAGCTACATAGTCTCTAATTGATCCAAAGCAGTGATCATGTCTCACCCTAGACAAATTACTATAGCCACAAGTCCACCCAACTGCAATTGTGGATGGAGTCAATATTGAACCTGATCCAAATTTCACCAGTCTTCCATCTAACTTAATTCTCTATGTCCAGTTTTACATGGATAGCATTGCCATTCATTTCTTTTTGCAGGAATGAAGTATTATTTTTATTATGATTATTCATGTTAGAGTTCTCTTTTTAATACTGGATGATTATTTTTTTTAAACACGTCTTTCCTAGAAATATCACTAGTAAAATGCATCCACTTTTTCTCTAATGTGGTGCTTTCCCTGTCCATAAAACTTATTTGATTAGCAGTACTATAGAAGCTAAGGCTTTTGTATGCAGGCACTCAAGCATAATTTAATCATTTTATTTAAGCATGAAAAAAATTATTCTGAAAGCCCTGTTAGGTAAAATATCCCTGATTGGTTTAAACTTACATTTGCAGGTATATTAAGGGTGAAATAAATCACAGAATGCCCAGTAAGCAATGGAATAGTGTTAACTTTGTTATAATAGTAAGCAGTAAGTTAAAAATTGTAGTATTAGAGAATGTAAGGAATAACTATCATTATAAATAACTGCATTTAAACAGGTTATTTTAAAATAAATTTTGTTTTATGCGAAACCATTTTATATTACAAGGATTTTCACCCATGGAAACCTCTTTCATAGTCAAACGAGATGAGGTCCTAATTGCATAATACCATTTATCTGCTGAGGATAAAAGTGCCAACAAATGAAAATGCACATTAGGCAAGAGATTGTCAGAATAGAAAATTGTCTTTTTTATTTCTTTTTATTTTTTTGTTTTTTTGTTTTTAAATAACCCACTCACATTAACGAAAGACTGCAGTAGCTTCCAAATTATAGGTTGTTATTTTTAGTGGAAGTAGTTCAATATTCATATTGGAGCAGATGTAGCAGTTTAACAAAACAGCTCTTCAAATCCTGCACAAATTGAAAACAGGAAAACTGATTGCATTTTCTCTTATCACTTTCCTTTTCTGAATTGACACTTTTGGCCTTCTGAAAATTTACACATGGCTTTCATCTCAACAGCACCTGCTGATCAAACAGAAACCTAACATTTTCATGAAAATGGTATAAAGAACTAGTTTTGTTCTAAACGCTGTAAAGGGCATAAGTTGCCTACTAGATAGCAACAACTGCTGGGTATAAGGCATATTCATAATAGTTTTATATTTTCATTAAGCTTTAAAAAAATACATTAAGTCCCTTCTGGTTTTTTCCATGTTCACTTTTGTATGATTCAAATTTCTTTGACTCAATGTCTGCCTAATACTTAGTTTTATCATGCAGAGACTATGCAAAATGTGTAAAAGGGTAGCTTACACTAAGATACGGAATATTCAGTATTTTCTCTGCCACTACTTGGAATACACATATTTATCTATATATTGCTGTCTATCCAGGCACATGGGTGTAAAATACACACATCCCATTTTCTCATTCCACCCACAAAAAAAAGCAAACAAAGTCAGTCCCTATTTTTGAAGGGGCCTTACAAATTATTTTATCAGATACCGATTTAGCAGGTGCTTGAATGTTTGAGGATCCCCAACTGGGGAAAAATGGATGTCACCTGAGCACAGGCCGGTAACGATCTACCAACCACTCAGTGTAAATATCTCTGGGAAGGTAAAGTTAAATCTTGAAAATGGGTATTCTTATATGAAAAATACAAGATTTACAGCTAAGTAGCTTCCCAGATTTTTAAATAAAAGTCCATCACATATTTATCTGTTACACCTAACTCTAAGTAAAATTAAAGATGCTCCTAAGACATGCTCTCTGTCAGTTTCCTAGCAAAAGGGCTCTACCCCTCTAAAGGATTCCAAGTGTCCATTCCCATTCTGCCTGGGTGACAAGGTAACCTCAGGCAGAAATGACATACAGTAATATATGTATCACTCTGGCAAGTTGGCCTGTGAATTTCCGTGTTTCATCATGCTCATTGAGGCAGCAGCAAACCTGAAATGTCAGTATGCTCAGTCAATGGAAGTGAAATAACGGGACTCTATTGTCTTACCCAATCGATCTGCTGTTGTCAACAAGGAAACATGCCCCCCTGGCTTTAAACAAATTTTAATTAGGCTCTTAGTTACTGGTTCATATTTACCTATGAAAACACTTATCTTGACTATGTGTAAGAAGCAAAACAATTGTTTTTCCCACTTTTATCCATTTTAACTACCTTCTAAAGTTAATACTATAATTTTTTAAGTACAGTCATGAGTGTATTAAACATTTTTTAATTAAACAGTTTTATTAGACATTTTAAATTTATTTTTCTTTTAAACCAACTCCAAGGGAAAAAAAATCCCATGGTTCAAATCCAAAACACAAATCTACCTAACAACTTGCTTTCTTTTTCCCTCTAGACCTAGTTGAAACCATACTATAAAATCAACTAATTCCATATTAAAAGTAGGTTTCATTTGCTTTTCTCACTCATTCAAGTACCACCATTAGCATCAATTCACCACCCATTCAAAACATGTCACACAAAACCAAACACAAATGATCAATTCCAAAAGCCTCTACCAATTTTGCTCAGTTTATCAATCTTACAAATAAGGGGTAAATGAAACTCCTGTTATATGGGGGATGGTGCGAAGAAGGGCAGGAGGTGGGGGTGAAAAGAAAATAAGGCATTTAAGCCCTTCAAATTTGCCTAAATTCTACAGTCCCTCCCTGCACCAGAAGGGAGACAGTCTCACCTTACAATAAAAATAAAAATGAACTAATCAAGTTGTTAAGCAGCTTTTTCTCTCCCCTCTTCATCTAAAGGCTTCAGCATCCCGTCAATAAATAATCTATTGTTCCCCCTTTATCCAGTCTCTTTAAACCTATTCAGAATGGCAAAACTAAACCCAATTAAAGATAAGGCCCTCCGGTAATCTCACCTCCGTGAGTCCTGTCTGGATAGCAGAGGTGATGGGAGATAGCGGCCAGGCCAGGGCTGATGCCTCCTCACCACACACAACAAAAGGCAGATTTCTCTTTCTCCCTCTGCTAATCTTTAAATGTAAATTCTCTCCGCCAGCTAAGAGGAGCGACAGATAACATGTTACATCTTCACTTCTCCTGGTCTTATCGACTTCTGAATCATTGGAAAGGGAGAGAGGAAAAGAGAAACGCAGCCTCCCCACACCCCCCTCCCCCGTTCTTTCCCACCCCTCCTTCCTCCCTGCCCGCCTCCCCTCCCCGTTCACGGAGATTACCTTCTGGCAAAGGAGCGCAGGAGAGGCGGCCGCAGCCGAGGCGGCACCCAGACCGCGGCTTTGTATTCATTAAACACACATCGGAGCTTATCAGAAGTAAAAGGCTTGTCAGGATGGCACATTGTGTGTGAGTGAGTGTGTGAGCGCAGGAGGGAGAGGAGAGAAGCCAACGTGCATCAGGGTGATTACAATATCAGCAGGGCCCAGATGGAGGCAGGAAAATAAACAGAGGGTGCGTGTGAGACGGAGCGGGAGAGGGAGGAAAAGTGGGAGAGACAGAAAGAGACACAAGCTGGAGGGAAGAAACGGAAAGGCAAGGAGGGGGCGGGGGCTCCGGCTCCAGAATGGGGATGGCAAGGAGGGCGAGGTACCCCAAGGCTGGCTGAGGGTGAGAGCCAGCGCTGGGGGAGGGTGGCCTGCATTCCCCAATCTGCCTCTACCCGGAGAGAACGGGAGGAATCCAGACTAGCAAACTGTATTTCCCTGCTCCAGGGCTAGACCGCCAACATTTTGGAGGTTCTGTCAAGGTCAAACGGGGATCAAGAGCTCTCTTTTGGCGGAGCTTATAACAATGAGACATTCACCATCTCACCTCCATCCAAATAGCCACAATTTGCAAAACAAACCTAGTGAGTCCTCACAGCAGTTACACAGCCTTCCAGACCTACCTCAGGTGGGAGTTCCCATCCCTTTCTTTGCTGACCCCAACGGTCCTAATTTCCAACCCCCTGCCCACACACACAAAGACCGACCCAGGCAGATACAAAATATCTCATTTCTCTGAGCTTCAAGTGTCCCAGCAGAAGACCTGTGTAGCCAGCATCACTGTAGTAAGAAGGCACACTTGTGATTGGTAGCTACAGGTGACTCTGAGACACCTGCTCCACCTCCAGAAATTGTGTTGGGGGAGGGGTTCCTCATGTGTACATCTGAGAGTCTATTTTGGAGGTGGGAATTTAAAACTGAGGCAATCAATCTCGGCTTGAGCTGCCTCACAGCTCTTCACCCACCCAGAGCCCAGGAATCAATCAGAGAACAAGCAGGGAACTAGCGCTCCTCCATCAGCCCAGAGTTCATCTTCCACCCCATCAGGGTCTGGAGGGAGATACACCTGAGTGGTCTCATGGGAGCCCCTTTCCACTTTTAAGTGCACCCGTCAGACAACATGAACATCTGATCAGATCCTTAATGGAGTGCAGATAATGCAGCAAAGAAGGTTATTTTATTGCGGGGAGAGGGAGTATTTGGTCATGTTGTATTTCAAGGCACTGAAGCTTGGTTAACAAGCTCTCACTGCAGTATGAAGAGTTCAGAATAAAGTAGCCAAATAAAGTACACAATTGTTCATGGCATACATTGCAGCCCCAGCTGCAGTGAAACTTCAGGTTGTAAAATAGTTTATGCATGAGGTCTCAATATAAAGAGACAAAATAGTTGGGAGGAGGAGGAAATAAGGCTAGTGAGTAGAGAAAAACACTGAAGAGCAAGAGAATTAGCAGCAGCCTCTGCGAGGAGACAAATTTGAAGAAGCCCTTTAGAAAACGAGGAGAAGCACTGTTTAATCAAGCACTCCCCTCCAAATCACTCAGTCAAAAAAGTTTTATGTGTAGTGGATCCTCCTGCCCACCCCCTGCTCCCACCCCAAGAATATAATTAAGGGAAATTGGATAGGTAAGGTAAAGTGAAAAAAGCCGGGCATTGGTGGGGGAAGGGCATATGTGAAAAATCGTGTCATGCAATGAATGTCAGATGAAAAGGGGTCTGCCACAATCCACCAGTAATCCAATAATGTGGAAAACCTCGTGGTATCACTGAGACGAGAACGAGGTAGTATTTCCCCATAAATCTTCAAAAAGTGAGCAGGTTCAATAGTTAGAGAAGGGTGCAAGGATAGGAAGTAAACCATTTGGCAGGGTATGTTACAAAATCGAGTGCACTCTAAATGGGTGAAAATCTGTCATTCTTACATGTTTTAAATTTAATAAGATTTCTCTCATAAAGGGTCACCTTTCACTTTTCCTCTGGTACAAAAACTGCATTCAGAGTAACCAGACACAATCACATATACCTTCCCCTTTATTACATCTTAGATCAATTTGGACACAAACTACCCACAAACATTTATAAATCCAATGCAACTCTAGGAAGTAAAAAATACAACTTACAAATGCCAACTGATTTTTCCATTACATGCTCTCTGGAAAAATGCTGTTTAAAAAACAAAGCCCTACTACTTTCAAACCCAGAAGAGGCTTACATTTTTTCTTTAAAAGGCATCCAGACACTGAAGGCATGAAGAAAACTTCACAAAAGCTTATCTGCCAATGTTCTTATTTTGTAAAGGCACAGTATTTCTATTACTACCTTGTTTGTTCACTGACTTTTGGCTCACGGTTACAGAAAAGATCAACCAATTCTCAAATGGGAAGAATCCATGACTCTCTTCCAAAGCAAACACTTTGCTGCAAAGCTTTCAATTAAAAAAGGGGGGGGCAATATAATAAGAAGTATAATCACAGAATAAGTGTACAACAGAAAGTGGTTTCTATAATCACAGCTGTCTTAAAGGCCAGGCTGGAGACTAGAAATCTTAATTTCAACTAGTTCTTTTCTTAATAATAGGTTACCTTCTTATAAGAGCAAGAAGGCCCATCTGCCTCAGGCAGATAAGTTTCGAAGCATTAATTCAGATAAAAATCTAGCATTTTCTTTCTTTCTTTGAGTATGTGAATTCTAGTGTGCTATAATGTGAGAATTCCAACATATGACCATTATGGCATAATATCTCATTGCTCAGCTTGTCATTATTTCATTTGTAATTCTTATGTTAATTATGTTCATAATTACTATAAACAGATGTGGTAGACATTCATGTGACCTTTTATTGCAGAATGCATTCCTCACTCATTTTGCTATAATTTCTCATGTATGTGAAACTGAAATGCAAAAAAAAAGCTTTCTAATTTTCTAGTGTTTTATATGCATAAGTTAAAACAAAACCTACCTTCTACTTCATCTGCATTTCAAAATATTAGAATATTCTTAACATTTAAGCTGCTTTGTAGAACATTTTAAAATTGCACACTGACCCTCACTGCTGCTCACTAAATTGTAGCTATGGATGCCGAACAAAGGCTAGCGTCCGTGTCTAAGTTGTTTGTCTTTTTTTATTTTTAATATCAAAGGTTAATGCAGCAGAATTGTGCTTCAAAACCAAGTGCCTAACAGCTACATAGCAATTTATTCACTCATAACTCAACCATCACCCTCTTTACATAAAACACATTTACAATAAAATCAGTATGGATTTCATTAGCTGTAAACCTCCTCGAATTTCATTTCTTTGGCCCTAATCTATAATTAGTGTGGACAGACAGGTGCAAACCCTTCTCTTCTACAGATGGCTACTGGAAATGGTGCAAAGTAGCTCCTTCTGTTTAAACAACACAGAGATAACCTGCTCTGTCTTATCACTTACAATTACCTCCATTAAACTGAACTAATGTTTGCTTTAATAAAATGTTCACTGTTCTTTAAACATTATTTAGGAACTCTTATATTAATGGCTGTAAAAAAGTGAAGTTGGAAGGTGTCTATTTAGATAATAATAAATAACTTATTCTGGATGAAATGTTCTCACTTGATGAATAATATTCTGGGGTTCACAAAGGTGTTTTAGTTGACTTAACATTTGTCAGTTATTTTGCATAAATAGGGTCAAATATGGTATTTTTAAAAGGCATCTGGGTGACAAACAATTTAACAAGAAATTCAGAAGTATGAAATGTTTAATTTCTTTCTTAGAGATTTTAACTTATTATTGAAGTATATAATTCCTAAAATCCTGGATTGTTTTCAACGGGTATTTATGTTAACCTAATTTTATGTATTTGTTTAACTTCTGATGGATTCTGAAAGTTGTATGAGTTCAACATTTTAAGGCACATTTTAAAAATTAACCACGCATGCAAGTGCACTCTGTAAGCACATGGTTAAAAATACCACCATTTCATAATAAATAGCTTCTATCCTATAAAGCAGAGATCACTTCTCCCTGCTTCTGCTATCAATAAAGTCTGTGGATCAGTAGAGGATGAATAAGGTGTCCATAAAACAAAGAAATTTTAAATGCCCAAACGTCAACAAATAAATGCCTTTTCCCACTGAACTTACATAACTTACAGTAATAGACTCCAGTAAAATGCAACTGACTTTTTTTTCACATGCAAATCCTGCAGGTGCCAATTTTTCAGACTGCTTTGCTATGAAGGGCTATGCTGCCTGCATAAAACCTCAATGAAGAAGGGTTTGCATTCAGTGCCTGTCAACTGATGTTCATATCAAAGAAGTGAGAAACAGGATTTGACAGTGAAGAATGTCCTAACCTGACAACCACTGACCAGCATTGCTATTGGAAGCATTTCTTTCTCGTGATCCCTTTTCAATGTTGGGAAAAAAAAGAAAAGAAAAAAGTGTTGTTTTTTTTTTCTTTTTTGGCTAAGCTTCTATTTTACAATAAAATAAATGATAATGGCACCTTACATTTGTGTACTTCTTTGCAATTTATGAAGTGTTCTTTTATCTGCAAATATTTATACTAACACCCTGGATGGGAAAGCTCATCATTAAATACTAGCATCAAGAGCAATATCTTACTTTTCTTCAGAAAGGGAAAATCATAAAAATATTAAAAAGCTACAGTCCTGTAGCTGCAACACATACTGTCCTAGTATTTCCAGCAACTTGCAGTTTAATAGTGCAGCTCCATTGTACTACAAGTAAAATGTGTCTTATTAGGAAAGTCCTTTACAGATCATTTTAAAATCAAATTATTAGCAGGTATTAGCGGGTCACAGAGACTAAGGCTACAAAGGAAAATATCATTTCAAAGATTTCTGGTCTGCTTTGAGTTCTCTAAACATTAAAGAAAAAATAGACCGTTTTCTCCACTTCTTTTATTAGGTGTGAACTGGACACTGGAGAAACCACATACTCTCCCATTCAGTATTTAGCTTTTCAAATAAAATGAGTGCTGTCTAAATGGTTTACAAAAAATTATTAATGCTTAAACAAAGTCTCTTAATATAAAGTTATTCTCTTAGTATAATCTTAGATAAAGTCAGCTTTTCTGTACCCAGAATGAGCCTGATTCTTTGATTATTTGGTTGAAATTTTTTCTTTTGAAAGAATAAGCCAAAGAAATATCAAATGCTAAATACAGTACAAGTAAAACAATGTTAGACTTCAACTTCCTCAACATACTTCCCAGCTGCAAAAAATGCAGTCAAACTAAGACTCCCTGATTAATACTGGGTGAGACCATCAGATGTCCCTTTAAAAACAACAATCAATAAAAAGAAAGAAAAGAAAAAGAAATTAGACTGCCCTATGTATGCTACCTGAAAGCCCACACAATGTTAAAACTAGAATTGACATTAAGGATAAACAAGGGAGAAAGATCCAGAGAATTATGAAATTGCTTCTCTTTGTACACATCACATCTGACATAACCACCCAGGTTTGGGCGAGGATGATTTAAGAAACAATTGTGTTTGTTGATCTTTTCTGAGGAACTGTGTGACAGGAGAAACTGGGCACAACAGAATACTCACATGGTCAAGGCAAAAGGCTGCAATAAACTAAAAGAAGTCCCCCGACACTAACAAACTGTTTATCACAGAGAAGCTAGTCAATTTGTATTCTAGTGAGTGTGGACTCACTGGGCACAGACCCAGGTTCACTCCTGTTCTATGTAAAGGGAGGGGTATGATAATAAAAGCTACTGAGTGCACTTAAAAGTGGTACAGATGTTTAAAAGGAGACTAGAAGGGGGAAAAAAACCCTGTAAAACAGATTTCAGTTCACCCAGAAGGTAGAAAGGAAACGCTTTGGTCAGCAACCCAACCTTTACCAGGGGATAAATCAATTTGCAGCAGCTGTGGACAGCCATTTATATAAAGGCCCTGGGCAGATTAATTAAAGGAAGCGAAGTTAAAAAATTCGAGGGGGCCCAGAGTTACATTAAGCACATGAAGTTGGTCTGGAGTAGCCTCCCCAGCTCTCCTAATCTTCACTCCCACGCCCTGGACTCTGTGACTGGTCTCCAGGAGCTCCTCCACGGGGAATACTAGCTGTTCCTTAAAGCGACACTCTGTAGCCAGGCTGGGGCACGTTGGGATTTGAGGTGCCCAACCTTGTATAATAAGCTATGCTCAAAAGATTTCTCCACTACGCTTTACAAGGAATAAGGAAACCCAGGGCTGCATGGCTCCCCAGCCAAATCCTCCAATCTTGAAAAGCGCGCGGGGCGGGGGGGGCTGTTAAGGGAGGACTGGGGCTATTTTTAGTAACAGTCTTGGTTCACATCCTACTTCCTGGAATCTGTCCTCAAACTTTTCCAAGGATTGACTGCCCTTACCCCACCCCACCGGCCAAAAAAGTTTCAAAAAACGGATTTAAGCGCCTTGTACCGACCTAACCGTCTTTGCTTAAGGCGTCCTGGCCAGCTCAAGGTCCGCCCAGGGAGAGGGGTCTGGGTGCGCCGACCAACCCAGTCCTTTCAGGCTCCCAAAGAGAGCGGTGGGGCCCGGAAAACG